GTTTGATGGCATAATTGGTCCTTGCCAACTTGACCAATATAATGGAAATACAGGTAATGACATAGGAAGTATTGGGGAAAGAACGGTATTGGAGGTGTTGGGAGCACAGGGTATTGGTGTAGATACATGTTGTTTGTGGCACTTGTGGCAGGTGCATGTACCGCGTTAATACTGGCTCAATGTTATGTTGGTTGGCCCAAATTGCCATATCCCAGTCTGGTTGGTGGTCGTCGTACTCGTTGTGAACTAACTGGGTGTGAATCAACCCGTGTCTCAGCCTCCGCTGCTACCGTGGTACCAGTCGCAGCTTGACTCTCTTGAGCTAGTTCTTCTGGTGTGGCACTTTCAGTAGATAGGAAACGCCGATTCTGGCTCAGTAGGCTAATACTTCATGTTATACAAATTATAGTGAATTTACGCACCTCCCTCCCACACCCCCGGTGACGTCACTTCCGGTTTACCACTATGACGTCACTTCCGGGTTATTGGATCACGTGACCACCACGCCATCCACGACCCCCCGCCAGCCCCCACCGCCCACGCGCTTTGGGTAGTCTTGCCGAAGTCTTACCGAAGCCTACCCTAAGTCTTCCCTAAGCCTACCCTAAGCCTACCCTAAGCCTACTCAAAGTCTACCCTAAGCCTACCCAAAGCCTACCCAAAGTCTACCCAAAGCCTACCCAAAGCCTACCCTAACCCCACCCAAAGCCTACCCAAAGCCTACCCAAAGCCCCCCACCACGCATACGCACCCCCGTTTTGGGAAGTCTTCGATAAGTCTTCCATTACGTATGTTTTGGATCACGTGACCTATGACGTCACTTCCGGTTGAATAATCATTCCTAAAAAAAATTAAAAAAAATTAAATTTTTTTTGTATATAATAAACAATGCAAACAACAGGAGATAAATCCAGGTCCGGGTCCGGAATCTTCGGAACTCTAAGGGAGTGGTACAACTGGCTAACCACCCACGTACCATCATCCACCAGGAAAGGCGTATCCGACGCTTTTAACACCACGAGGAAGAAGGTTGTAAAACTGTACGGTGGTAAAGAGGAAGAAGAAGACCAATGCTACGACGCAAGGGAGAACTTTAGTGTTGAGGATGAAGGGTGGTACGACGTCAATCCGGAAGAGAACCTAAAACCCATCCTAACTAAGCATGGTATAAAAGGTAAGGTAAGGAAGTATGTCATCAACCCTAACGGATCGTACGACCCGGTACACTTCCTCGATATCACAAGGGACGGGGTTGAGACGCTTATTAATTCCGGAACAGGACCGAGCGACGTAGGCATGTCTCTAGCATGCGAGATGGTTAAGAACAATCCGGAAACCGAGGAAGAAGAATTCGATGTCACACACTTCAGATCAAAAACTCTTAAACTCGTCGGTACGGATGACACGGAAGAGTCTCTTAACACCATGAGGGAAAAAATGTTAGAATCCTTTTCCGAATACCAGAAGCGTGGTAGCGGTTGGATGCTTCGGAGGGTAGATCTGCTCGAAATTCATATCGGAGAATATCGACCGTTAAGGGGAAAGGGTTACGTACCATTATCCGAGACGTTCAGGAAGAAGAAAGCGATCATCAATATGAAGAACGACGACGACAAATGTTTTAAGTGGGCCGTAACCCGCGCACTGAACCCGGTCGAGCACAACTCCGAAAGGATTACAAGGATTCTTAGGAAGCAGGCTGAGAAACTAGACTGGGAAGGGATAGAGTTCCCAACACCCCTAAACAATATCAAAAAGTTTGAAAAGAACAATAATATTGGTGTGAACGTGTTTGGACTTGACGGATGTCGTAAGGTATGTCCCTTGCGAATATCCGACAGTACCAATCCAATACACCTCTTCCTGTGGAAGGAACACTATAGTGTTATCAAGGATATGTCGAGACTTGTAGGCAAACAGGTTAACGATCACAGGCATAAAAAATACATCTGCAATCGTTGTCTTAACGCATTCGGATCGATAGGACTCCTGGAAGAACATCTGGAGTTATGTTTGAACAACAACTGCCAGAGGCATGAGCATCCAGAACCCGGTACCACCACAGAGTTTAAAAATTATGAAAGAATACAAACCGTTCGGTTTGTCATCTATGCAGACTTTGAATGCTACATCGAAGGGATGGACACTGTCAGGCAGAACCCCAACAGATCGAGTACCGCCCAGTACCAAAAGCACAACCCCAGCGGATTCTGTTACTACGTCAAGTGCTTCGACGATTCCGTCTGTAAGCCCAAGCTGGTACACTATACCCAACAGTACGAGGGGGAAGATGTTACCAAAAAGTTTGTGGATATGTTGGAAGAGGAAGTCCGTGATATATACAACAGGTTCAAGTTCAAGACACCTATCAAGATGTTTTTCGAGGATATCGAAAATTATGAAAGAGCGACCGTCTGTTATGCATGTTGAAAGGAATTTACCACAGAAGACCATAAGGTTAGGGATCATTGTCACTATACGGGAGCGTACAGGGGTGCGGCACACAATACGTGTAATTTAAGAATGAGAAGACCCAAATTCATTCCGGTACTTTTTCACAACCTCGAAGGATACGATTCTCATCTATTCATTATAAACCTTTGGGTAAGTAGTGGTGACATTAAGTGTATTCCTAAGACGGAAGAGAAGTACATTTCCTTTACTAAGGAGGTAGAGGTCGATAGGTTTATTAACGAAGACGGAAGGGAGAAGAAGGTTAAAAGAGAGCTAAGGTTTCTCAACTCGTTTAAGTTTATGGCAAGCTCCCTGGACAAGCTCGTCAAGTTTCATATTAATCTGACACTGCAATCGAGCAACGAAAAATTCGTTGGCTCGAGCGGGATTTGAACTCGCATCTTCGGGTATCTAGACCGCCGCTCTACCTATTGAGCTATCGAGTCAACAGGGATTGGTAGCGAGTCTTATCCAATTTAAGTGCACGAAATATTTTCGTGACGACTTAACGCTTGTCTTTGAGGACGCGCAGTGTTTCAATTCTATTTCAGAATCATCCTCAGAGATAGGAAAACTAGTTTCATATTAATCTGACACTGCAATCGAGCAACGAAAAATTTGTTGGCTCGAGCGGGATTTGAACTCGCATCTTCGGGTATCTAGACCGCCGCTCTACCTATTGAGCTATCGAGTCAACAAGGATTGGTAGCGAGTCTTATCCAATATAAGTGCACGAAATATTTTCGTGACGACTTAACGCTTGTCTTTGAGGACGCGCAGTGTTTCAATTCTATTTCAGAACCATCCTCAGAGATAGGAAAACTAGTTTCAATCCCTGTTGACTCGATAGCTCAATAGGTAGAGCGGCGGTCTAGATACCCGAAGATGCGAGTTCAAATCCCGCTCGAGCCAACGAATTTTTCGTTGCTCGATTGCAGTGTCAGATTAATATGAAACTAGTTTTCCAATCTTTGAGGATGGTTCTGAAATAGAATTGAAACACTGCGCGTCCTCAAAGACAAGCGTTAAGTCGTCACGAAAATATTTCGTGCACTTAAATTGGATAAGACTCGCTACCAATCCCTGTTGACTCGATAGCTCAATAGGTAGAGCGGCGGTCTAGATACCCGAAGATGCAAGTTCAAATCCCGCTCGAGCCAACGAATTTTTCGTTGCTCGATTGCAGTGTCAGATTAATATGAAACTAGTTTTCCTATCTCTGAGGATGGTTCTGAAAAAGCTCGTCAAGGGTTTGGGTAAGGACGACTTCAAAAATTTGGATTTGATGACGGGTCGTAGCACTAAGGAACGGAGGGAGTTGCTTAAGCAGAAGGGTGTTTACCCTTATGAATATATGGATGGTTTTGAGAGGCTGGAAGAAACATCGCTCCCACCGAAGGAGAAATTCTTTAGCAAGCTCAACAACGAAAACATCAGCGACACGGATTATGAAAGAGCCTGGAACGTATGGAATACCTTCAACATGAAAACCATGAGGAACTATCACGATCTGTACCTGATAACGGACGTCCTCCTGACAGATGTGATGGAAAACTTCAGAATGGTTTGTATGGTCAACTACGGATTGGATCCAATGTGGTACTACACAGCACCCGGGCTGTCATGGGACGCTGTGCTGAAGTTAACCGGCGTGAAGCTGGACCTCATATCTGATCCGGATATGTACCTATTTATCGAGAAGGGTATTCGGGGTGGGATCAGCACCATTACTAAAAGGTATGCTAAGGCAAATAATAAGTATATTGAACTTTCAAAGAACCTAACCTGGTTGGAAATGTTTAAAAAGTGGATGGGAAGAAAGTTTTCCGATCTATCGGTCGTAATCATATCAATGCTCAGCATGATTGTTACAGTCATTACGGGTACGGAACTGGTGATCAGTCACGACGATGAAGAGCGGTCTACATACCTCCCCTATATGGACGCGAACAATTTATACGGGTGGGCAATGAGTCAACCCCTACCCGTCAAGGACTTCAAATGGATGGATCATGCGGAACTGGAGAAGTGAACAGACTACGGCTGTATCCTCGAAGTGAATTTGGAATACCCCGACGAACTACATGACAAACATAGCGAATACCCTCTTGCACCCGAAAGGAAAATGGTTAACAAGGTGGACAAGCTGATACCAAATATCAGCAATAAGGAAAAGTACGTCGTCCACCACGAGGCGTTAAAACCGTACCTAAGTCTAGGGTTAAGGTTAACCTGGGTACACCGGGGGGTAAAATTCGTTGAAGAGCCATGTGTGAAGAAATGTATCCAGCTCAACACAGACCTGCGTACCAAAGCTACTACAGACTTTGAAAAGGACTTCTTTAAGCTTATGAACAACTCGGTATCCGGAAAGACGATGGAAAATGTAAGGAATAGGGTTGACATAAGACTTGTTAATAACGATAAGAAGTGGAACAAGCTGGCTCAAAAGCATAACTACAAATCTGCAACCATCTTTTCCGAAAACCTAGTAGCAGTTCATATGATGAAGACATCCGTAAAACTGAATAAACCTATATACTTAGGGATGAGCATCCTTGACATCAGTAAGACCCTCATGTACGATTTCCACTACAATTACATTAAACCAAAGTATGGGGATGATGCCAGGCTCCTATTCACGGACACGGACTCCCTATGCTATGAAATTAAAACCGAGGATTTCTTCAAGGATATATCCGACGATGTCCTCGAAAGATTCGACACCGGCAATCTAGGTAAGGACCACCCATCCGGAATCCCAACGGGTGTAAACAAAAAAGTTATCGGAATGATGAAGCTGGAAACGGGTGCAAAACAGATCGAAGAGTTTGTGGGATTAAGGTCAAAGCTATATGCTTACAAAATGGCGGAAGACGGTGGTGAGGAAAAGAAGTGTAAGGGAGTCAAGAAAGTAGTCATCAAAAAAGAAATAACATTCGAAAATTATAAGGAATTTCTCTTCAGCGGTGAGAAACAGTGGAGGGGAATGAATGTTTTCAGAAGTAGGTTACACAAAATATATACGGAAAGGGTCGTCAAGGTAGCCCTGTTTGCAAATGATGACAAGAGAATAATTATGGAGGATGGAGTCCACACGCTAGCAATCGGACACAAAAGCCTAAGACAGTAGAAACCAATTTTAATATTCGAGGAAACATTAAAATGTTAACAGGTCTACAGTAATTTTGTAATTATGAATGCAGATCCTAGTCCTAATATTCCGATTGTGATCTGTTGGGATTCTTCCATTTCGTTCGATGGTTTGTAGTAATCGTGAATCGTTGGTTCTTTATCCAGGGTCAGTTCCTCCTGCAGTTTCCGCAGGGAGTCAAGAGCACGGTTTGTCGTTTCCATATCCGATTTGGCGTCGGCTAGTTCCTGCCTGAGTATTGCAATTCTGTTCTTTTTTTCCACCTGACTTTCGTACCATTTTTCCTTAGCCTTGGCTAATTTTTCCAGCGCTTTTGTTGTGTCTTTTCATTTCGCCTTCGTATCCACTGTGGTTTAATTTACTGAACAGGTATCCGGCTCCTGCGAATGCTACGGCGTTGAATAGTCCTCCGACCACAACACTTGTCATCTTTTTTATTATAGTGGTTTATTTGAATGGATCATCCGGTACTAGTTTAGGGTAGTGAACTCCAACCGCACCGACTCCAAGGGCTACGGCTAATTTTAGAATTCCTTTCGGACTACTAGGTACTCCGAGATTGTCACCTGCAAATTTTTTGCTTACCACGGACACAGCGACTGCTCCGAGCGTAATAAGTCCGGCGTCGAAGGCTTCGTTCATAAAGTCCTTTCTATCTCCCATGTTTTATTATATGTGTTCTTATTTATTTTTTCCTTTTCCTGTATTCATTGTACAGGAAGTAAGTTAATGCTAAGGCTAAAATCCAAAGATTCTTCGCCAGGAACGCAATGCCCTTTGCTCCCCATGACAGAACCTTAGCGATTAGGTTTAGTACGGATGCTAGTACGGGTCCAACCTTTCCGGCTAGGTTTGCCATTGCTTTTGCAAACCTACTCGTTGCCCTAGCTCCCTTTTTTGCTACGCTTCTAGCCCCCATAATAATCGTGGTGATGATACCCGCCACAGATATTGCTACGGCTGATATTCCGGCTATATTTTCTTTTCCCCATTTCTTAAATCTTTCGAACCTGGCTTTCGGTCCGTTTGGTCGTTCGTTTGATCTTAACCTTATTTCATCCGCCTTCAATTCTGCCGTGTCTGCCATTGCTTCGTACAGGAGGGCCTTCAGTTCACGTTCTGCAGTTCGTTCGGTTCTGGGCAGTTCTTTCCAATGATTTTTATCTATTTCAAGATACTCAATTTTTTGCTTACCCGAGTTTCCCTTTACGTTCAGGATACCTCTCAGTTCCCTCAGTTCGTTTTTCGTTATAACTGTACTATTACCGATGGCTTCACTTTGAACGGACAGTTCGTCATATTCAACGGTATTTTCCAGTACGTTATC